GAAATTTTTCATAATGTTTGCTTGAGTGGTCTATTTCGTCCACTTTATCTTCCAGTCTTGATACTCTGTTTTCCACTTCGTTCATCCTATTGGTGAGGCTTTCTCCTGTCGTTTCTAATTGGGTTAGTGAGTGTGTTACTTCCTTCTTCATTTCAGCCTGAATATTCTTCAGTATTTCTCTTTTCTGAATTCATTCAGAAGTTTATCCCTATCTTCCTTCAGTTCTTTGATTTCTTTTTTTGTGTGTTCTTTAAATTCACTGAATTCTTTTATCACGTTTATAATTGTTCTTTTGAGTTCCATGTCCTGCATTATCTCTAGGGGGTTCTCATTGTACTCCTCTAGAGGACTATTGGTATTTGGTGGGGATATGTTATTTTGGTTTTTCACATTATTTTTTCTCTGTGATTTTGACATGTGAATTTCTCTTGTAGTTTCTGATTCTTGTGTGAGACTCATGCCTCAAGTTTAGGTCTGCTTCTTTTTGTGAACTTTATGTGTCTCTGTGGTTTACTTTTTGGGCATGAAAAGCTGTTTCTTCTAAGCTTCTGGTTCTCTCTTTTGGTTTTATATTGGAGTGGCCAGATTGATTTTGTCTTCAGGAATTCCCACAGAGGCCCAATTTATTTGAGGGTCAGATGTTTTCAGGCTTTCTCCTAAGGTCTGGATCCCTCCAGGAATGATTTTGGCCTCAGGAATTTGGGGGTTGGACTGGCCTGGGAGCTGGGCCCAGGAAAGATGCTGGTCTAGGGCAGGTGGTGGCTGTGTTCCCCAGAGATGCAAAGGCAGATGGGGTAGGAAGAGGCCCCAAGGACTCCTGGGGTCTGCACTGAGGAGCTGGGTTGGTCTGTATGCAAAGGATCAGAAAGAGGAAAGGTGAGAGCTTACCCTCCCCCCTTTTCCCAGAAAGAGGCTGCTGGGTAGTGCTGTCCCAGGGAAGCAGAGGGAGGTGAGGGCAGAGCCAGGTCCAGAAGCTTTGCTCCTGGGGCCCAGAGAAGGCAGTAATTTGATCTGGATGAAAAGGATCAGGAAGCAATATTGGTTCTCCAGGTGTCTGGGGCCCTAAGACAAGGAATGGGGCAGGGCCCAAACTCAGAGGAGAGAAAGGCTGTGGAGATGGGAGGGTGAATGAGGCTGAGGGAGTCAAGGCGTGGAGGGCACGGTGGACTTATCCTGCAGACAGACCTGTGGTCAGGAGAGAGGCCTGCAGCGGTCCTGCAGGCCCGGGGAAGCAGAGCTTCTTTACTCTTTTTGTGGAATATTTGTTGAGTGCCAATATTGTGCTAAAGTGGATATAAATTATATGACTGTGATTTCTGACTCAAGCTGTACCTTTAGTAAAAAAGTTAACACAATTCCTTTGTTTTTGGTTTTCAGTATGTGTGTGTGTGAGCTCATGTGCATGCATATGGAAGCCAAAGAAAAACCTCAGGTGTCATTCCTCAGGCACTTTCCATCTTAGATTTGAGACAGGGTCTCCCACTGGCTACGACTTGCTAAGTAGGTGAGGCTAGCTGGTCAGTGAATCCATCTGTCTGCACTGTGTCATCATGAGCAGCTTTTTTTTCTTTCTTTCTTTCTTTTTTTTTTTTTTTTTTTAAATTCTGGGTATTGAACTCAGGTCTTTGTACTTGAAACGCAAGCAATTTACCAACTGAAATATTTCCATAGACCTAATTAATTCTTTAGTAATACAGTATTAACTTTGTTTACCATTTTACATTTTATCATTTGAAATGATCCCATTTTTAAAATACACATATATACACATAGAAAAAGGATCAGAATGATGTTGACAGTGCTTTTCTCTGAGTAATAGTATTCTGAAAGCTTTTTTTCTCTTTTGAAATGGCTTTTTTAAATTTTCAAAATTTAGTCAGACATGTGGTAATACCTATAACTTTTGAGGCTGAGTCAGGATTGTAAGTTCAGGGTGACTTCGGTTGTATAGTGAGACCCCATCTCAAACAAATACATGAAGAAGTTCTTGTTGAAGTCGTCATAAATACATTACTACCCGGCCCTCTTCTCACTAATAGAGTTGTGATCTCTCTTTCTCTTACATTCAGCTTTTGCGAGAATTGAAGCACCCTAATGTGATCGCATTGCAGAAGGTGTTCCTTTCCCACAGTGACAGGAAGGTGTGGTTGCTGTTTGATTATGCAGAACATGACCTTTGGGTAAGTCTAAATGATCTGTGCAAAGGATTCTTTTGTATAGGTGTGGAGCTTATATGTAAGTGATACATACGGCTGATGTAGGGAAAAGAAAACTTACTGTCAATTACAGTTTAAAGTAAGTATAATAGCATAGGTGTTGATTTTAAAGATGAGCAGTAAACAAAAGTTTATTGAGATGGTAGTATTTGTAATACTCAGAAGTTTCACTTCAGGAAATTTTAATTAAAAGATTACAGTTTTTTAGGAAAGCAGTTAATGGCAGTTTTGTAATGTGTGTAGTGAAAAGTAGTTTCTTTTGTGATATGTGTAGTAATACAGATTTTACCAGGTATATACTTGTGAGCAATTTTAAACTTAAGGTTAACTTCTTATGGCATTTTGGTATTTAAAATTGGGTGTATGCCAAATAGAAGTGTATACTTATATATCAGAAGGAAAAACATCTAATTCTTAACTTTCAAAATTAGGAATCAGAGAGCTTTTAAACATTTTATCTGAATAACTGCTAAAAATAAGAAATCCAAGTTTGACAGTAAATTCAAATTATGAATACATTTTGTTTCAATGGTTTCATTTGTCTTCTATACAAATTAAAAATGTTTGTTCAGGAGTTTAATAGTGTCATTGTTGACTGTGTAATGAGTTTGAGCCTGGCCTGGGGTACACGAGACCTGTCTCCAAACAACAGCAGACAAAAGTACTTCCCTGTTTATCTTCATTCTCTTATATTTCTTCCAAAGTTTACTTGATAATGTAAAATATCATCTTTAAAACATCAGTAGTATGATGAAAAATAATGTGTATTGGACTAGTCAGTTTGTAGTACTGTACCATCCATTGTGGTATACAAATTAATTTTACATTTCTTTTTGTAAATTGTGGCCTTTGAAATGTTAAAAGTTATGTATATGGGTTTCACAATATTTCTGTTAGAAATCCAATTCATTTAGTATGAAAATCAAGTGAGTATGCTGTTGAACAGTTTATAAAAAAAAAATTTAAAGTATGGGGGCTGGAGAGATGGCTCAGCAGTTAAGAACACTGGTTGTTCTTACAGAAGACCTGGGTTCGAGTCCCAGCACCCACATGGCAGCTAACAACTATCCACTAACTCCAGTCCCAGGGGATCCGACAGCCTCTTCTGTCCTCTGTGGGCATTGCACGACACGGGTGCACTTACCTACATGCAGGCAATACACACAAAGCACATAAAATAAAAATAATAAATAAAATTAAAAAAATAAAGTTATATAAACAACAATTTTACATTCTAGTGTTGATAGAGGACTATTAACAACTTCACTAACAGAATTAGTGAATAGGGTTTTAAATGTCTCTATTTTGAAAAGCCTTAACAGAGGGTGGAGTGGGATACGAGTGGAGGTGCTGGAGAGAAGCTAGATGCAGCATTTCCTTCCCTCATTACAGTGTTTTTATAACCCACAGCATAACATGTGGATGTGAAAATTTGGAAATGATCTGGTTATATTTCTTTCAGTGTTATTAAACTTTCCCATTCCTTCACTCCTTTTCCTTTCTACTTTCTAGTATTCTCTCCTACGTAATATTAACTGCTAGGAATTTATTCTGTGCAAGAAGAGGTAGAATTTTCCCAATAATTCCATAGTGTACTCATTGTCAGTGGTGTTACTCAAATGCATCAAATGCTAACTTTAATTGAATAGTAGAGATTTAGTTTACCTCTCTCATTCCCATCCATAAAGAATATTACTAATCCTATTCTGAGACAGGTGCCTAAATACTAATTCCTTGTACTTTTTGATCCTATTTAGTGAAAGTCTTAACATTTTCAGTAAATCTGATCATTATAGACCTACATTAACAAGATCACATTTATTCCCATATACGTTAGTTTGGCCAACCTTACTATTCAGATTGTTTTGTTTGTATCATTATTAGCTTTTAAAAAGTTTATTTAAAATATAGAACATTTATTACAATCTTGATTGTGTCTTATTGTCATAGATATGAGCCGACCGTTTTGTTATAGTATGTTTTATTTTTTAAATTTTTAGCACATTATTAAGTTTCACCGAGCATCAAAAGCAAATAAAAAGCCCATGCAGTTGCCAAGATCTATGGTTAAGTCACTACTTTACCAGATTCTTGATGGTATCCATTACCTCCATGCAAACTGGGTGCTTCACAGAGACCTGGTAAGTATCTTTTTTTTTTTCAATATAGTTTATTTATTATTTTATTTTATGAGTGTATTGCCTGCATGCATGTAAGTGCACCCATGTCGTGTAATGCCTGCAGAGGTCAGGTAAGGGCATTGGATTCCCTGGAACTGGAGTTATGGATGGTTGTTAGCCACCATATAGGTGTTGGGAATCAAACTCGGGTCCTTTGCAAGAGCAGTCAGTGGTCTTAACTGCTGAACCATCTCCTCAGCCTTGTAAGTATGTTTCTTTAAAACCAATCAATATAGCCCCCCCCCCCACAACACACTTTTAAAAAACTCTTTGGTCTTGGCACAGTTTTAATAAAACATTGGCTAAAGAAAATTTTGTAATAAAAACTCATACATAATCTACAACAAAAGACTGTATGCTCCCATCTGTAATCCTAGCACCTGGGAGACCAAAGTAGGAGGATTGCCAAGAATTCAAAGCCAGTGTGGGGTACATAGTGAAATCTGGGCCAACCTGAGCTAAGAGTGGGACTTTGTCTTAAAAAACAAACAAAAAACTACCTTTTGCTGAATGCAGTTTCACACACCTGTAACCCCAGCATTCAGGCAGGAAGATTGTGGACATTTGAGACCAGCCTGGGCTACAAAACAAGACCCTGTCTCAATCAAAACAAAAACCAACCAAAAAAGACTGAACATTTAATATATATTATTCCATTATAGTAATACATAGCTGTAAAATGTCACTGTGATTTTTCAACAGTGATTAGTAGTATATAATTTTAATGGCACAGTTAATCTGTAAAGCAAGTATATTTCAGTTGTTTGTTCTTTATATTATTGTTCATCATCAGTAAAAACATTAATAATTAATGACTAAGGTCTCATTTTTCCCCCCTTAAGACCTATGCTGAAATAATGACATTGCATCTGGTGAAAATCTGCTTACCAGCGTTAATAATTAACGAATAAATGACTAAATACATTTAATAGCTAGAACAGACTTATTTGACAAATTATCCACAACTCAAATGTTTGATTTTTTTTATTCAGTATATATATAATAAGCATTTATTAATAATCATTGTATGCCAGATAGTCATCTTCATTGTTATTTTAGTTTAGATTATTGTTTTTCTTAAGAATATAAGGGTACTAAATAGCTATAATTCTAATGTATTTATCATTGAAGGTTTTTATTTTGCTCCTTCAGGTGATTTCTTAGTAATTAATTTTTTAGGCTTTTGAGAAGTTTAGGGATGTTATAGAGGTAAGTCTAGGTAGATTCCAGTTTTATTAACTGTGGAGAATTATTTACAGAAAAGAATGAATACATGAAGAGATCTAGTTGACATCATTTTGTACATTGTCAGTCAAGCTTGGACTCTGCCTTGGCCGCCTCTTGTAGTAGCATTGTAATTAAATGAGGACCAAATGATAGTGACCACAGATGATGAGTTTACCATTTTTACAGAATCATATGGTTCCTCAAACTTCCAACTCTCCACTTAGTATTTACCATGAGTTAACATGTTTTAAAATGGTTCTTAGGTTCTTGTGGTTGTTCTGAACAGCCACATAGATGGCATTTAGATTTTATATTTTCAAGGTTATAGTCACATTTGAATCATTAATGAAACTTTTTCATCAGGATTAATTTGAGTGCTCCTCTCTGATTTACTTACTCTAAGTAGTATAGTTTAACCTGATTTATTTGTTGCGGTTACCTGATTGTTTACTGTTAAAATTCAGAATGGGCCGGGTGTGGTAGCACTTGGGAAGTGTCCCAGCACTTGGGAAGCAGAGGCAGGCGGATTTTTGTGAGTTCAAGGCCAGTCTGGTCTACATAGTGAGTTCAGGGCAGCTGGGACTACAGGGAAACCCTGCCTCAAAAAGACCAAAAAAAAAAAAAAATAGTATGATCAGGACTCAGTGTTTTCTTACTCAAATTTGCTTTAGTATCCTCTGTATTGGTTATGGCACCACCCTCCTCCTAGCCTAGAAATGTCTTTTACCTTTTTGCAGACCTCTCTTTGAATTTTACATCCAGAGCTCGATAATGTCATATCTACAATATCTTCTACTCATCTGTTTATATCCGTAGTGCCTCTTTTCTTGTTCAGGGCTTTATGAGCTCTTTCTTTTATCATGTTCCTGGCCTTTTTCATCTGTCTCCTTTTTAACAATTTCTTTCCTTCCAGTTCACTGTAGACCTACTGACCATTTATTAGCCTCTCCTCAAAAACTTTGAAGTAGGAAAGTAGGTTCTTAGTGATGAACTAAAGTTTTCGGGTTTTTTTTTTTCCTTTCTTTTTTTGAGACAGGGTCTCCCTGTAGCTCCAGCTGGTCTAGAACTCAATGTGTATACCAGACTGGCCTGGAACTCAAAGAGATCCACCTGCTCCTGCCTCCTGAGTTCTGGGATTAAAGGTGTGCACCACCACACCTAAGTTTTAGTTTCTTAATTTGGTTTTTAGGGTCTTTCCCATGTGTAGCTACAATTGGTTTTAGAAGTTTTCCTCATCCCTGTCATTTCCCACATATTCATTCATTGTTCCCTATATCCTCCTGAGATTTCTTACTTCAAAGGCCTGCATTTCCCTTGTCTTTGTTTCTGTCTTTACATATTCAAATACTATCTATCTTTCAGGGTTCAGCACAAATATTAAAGCTTACCCTCATATTCATCTCTCCTTTGAAATCAATTAATGTTTTCTTGTTATATTTCCTGTTGTATTTCATCTTTGTGCTGTTATGGTATTTAATTGTATTACATAGATATCTTAGGTCATCTCCTAGATGGTAAACTTCTCTAGAGGGCAGGATCTATAATCTTCTTTGTACATAGTAGGTGTTGAGAAAATGAATAGCAGAATATTGATAATGGTCTCATTTTTGCAATCAAGTATTTGAAAACACTGGCCTCCATGAACATTTATTATTTTTGTGTATGTGTTAAATAAAAAGATGGTAATATAGTTACCAAATGGGGATGATATAGATAGGACTGCATCAGAGACCTTCTCAAGGAGTTACAGTCTAGAAGAAGAAACATGATATACACAAGCAATAGTGTCATAGGGCAAATGAGGTTGTGGGTATTTCAAAAGAGCAAAGTAAATGCAATTCAAGGTAACAAGAGATACTGTGTTGGGGGATAAAGGAATGCTTCAGGGAGCAGGTAGAATTTGAGTTAAACTTTGAAGTGGAATTTAGAGGTTTAATGAGTGAAGGAAATCTGTGTGTGTTGGATCTAAAACTTCTAAGATGAGAAAGCACTTGGATTATCTCAGAAAGGGTATGTTGTTCTGCTTGGTGCAAATATGAATAATTGGGGTAATATGAAATGAGACTAAAAACATATGGGTTGGAGCTTGATAGAAGCAGTCTCTAAATATCAAACCCTGGAGTTTGGAGGAGTTGGTTTGTTTGTGTGAAGGTCCTGAAACTTTGAGTAACAGAATCAGTTTCCCCATTGATTCTTATAACCTTTATCCATAGCATGAACATAGGGCTTAAAATGTATTCTGAGTGTAGTTCTGGCTAGCATAGTGCTTGTTTATATTTTGCCTACACATTTACTGAATGTCTCTGCCCCCCATAAGTAATTCCAATAATAATTGAAACTTTGATCCCTCTAGCCTGGGACAGTCTCCCTAATTATTTCACTGATGAGGAATACTGAAATCTGTACTATATTGTCTTCCTTGTGCCACAGTACCTTCAGGAGTAGATTTAACCCATATGTTTACACTGTAGTAGAGAAATGTAAAGTTCATAAAATAAGAATATGATGCTAAAAGGAGGTGGTAATAGAGACAATTAACTGCTTCATTTTCTATTGCTGTAAGAAATCTGGCTTTATACTGTTAGTCATGACCATTTCCGTGTATTCATCATCTTTTAATTTTCATTTCATAATCAGTAACCTGGAAACCCATTCAAGTAAAGTGCTAGAAAAAATACAAAACAAAGCTGAGAGTAGCTGAAAGCTGAGTCTGGAGTTCATACACAGAAGCATTATGTCATCAAAAAGCTTGGTGTTTTTATTGTGTTTGATTTCATGTCTGGAACAATATTTCAGTTATGTGATTTGGATCCTAGAATTTAATACAAAAGTAGAAAATTTCAAATTTCCAAAAAGAGTAGTTGAGTTGAGGAATTGGCTTTAAATGGAAAGGAGACAAGGACTAAATGTATTTATTTTGGCCGGGAGACAGTGAAGGAGAGACAGAAGTCTATAAATATTTGAAACTTGTAAACACTATGGGAGAAAGATGTATTTTAATTTTACAGCAGGATATAGCTCAGAGTAAGATGATGAAATTTAGGCTGACTCATTTTTATGGGATTACTATTCTGGTAGTTGGAAGAATGCCTATATGTAGTTTATATCCTTTTAAAAATGATGTGCTTCTTGAGAGCACTAATTTTTGTCATCCTAGAATTGTTTTTATGCTTGTAAGTTAATTGAATAGAAATGCCACTAAGCATCTGACAGTTTTTACATTATTCTTTAGCAAAGATAGAGAAACCCTGGCTAACTGATACTATTAAGTAGATTTACTGTTCCTTATTTTCAGGACATTGCTACTGGATCAGTGGCATAAGCAGAACTACTCTTTCACTGTCATATCCCAGAACCCAGCACATGATAAGTTCTAGATTTTTATTGAGTGAAGAATTTGAATGAACGTTCCAGGGCTGACCTAGCGCTTTCTTTTAAAAAATATTTGTGAGTGTTCTAAAACTTGCATTCTGAATAACTGCTTTTTACATTAGTCAGCCAGATTTTCAGTTGTTTAAAAGTCCATAGGAACAAACGACTACATGGACGGCAAACAGCATGTGTAGAAATTTTATGAGATCTAACTAGTTGAGAGAGAAAGAATTTTGTACCAGGTTATATTATTAATTAACATCTAAACATTTTTGATTGTCACAGACATAAAAACATGTTTATTATATTAGAGGTCTACTATAACAGTTCCATCACAGCAATAAAGTTCACCAGTACAATTT